ATCTGGACTCACCCACCTTGCTGCCGGTCAAATCTGCCACTCGGATCTGACAAGACTGTGTCTGATTGAGTTGGGGAGAGGTTTGCCTGTCTCTCAGTTTGATGAGATTACCTCTAGGTCCCAAGGAGGCTGGGTGGAGCAGGCTGGGCGGAGCAGGTCTCTGCCTTGTCCTGAGATGGAAAAATGGCTCTGGTTGGCGTTTCCTCACCAGTGATGGAGTTCCTCTTTCCAGCTCTCCTTGATCTTCACTCTCCACTGATCAGATCCTGGGATTCCAGTCACTTTGCTGTCACAGGTATTGGTGTGGGCCAGGTGCCAGGTGATGAGAATCAGCTGAATTCAGCAGGCTTTTCTCAGGAGAGTCCTAAGAACAGCAGAGGATATTGTGGGACAGGCTATAATCTCAAGGTGGTGGGGGGTTGCAGTCACCTCCAGAGGAGAGTCCCGGGTGCATCAACCCGAGTCACCCCTCAAGCAGACTTTCATTCACCCACTAGCACATGCCTAGACACACAGAGTGTCTTTATGGACACTCACTTTTGCGGAGACTCTCACAGTCTGACCTGCCCCATCACCATCTTGTTGGAAGCCCCTGTTGACAAATCTTATGCAATATTCCTGATAATACAGTGGAGGGTGAGAACTCAATTGGGGCACACAATGGGACCCGGCCTCTGGAAGTAGCCACCATTAATGATGATTCACCTAAACAGCAGAGCCTTAGCAGCCTGTAGGGGGTGTGTTGGGGAATGCACCACTGGACTCTTCCCTCCTAATCATAAGAGAAAAACTTCCCAGCTGTAAGATTTACATGCCAACTGCTAGTAGGTTAACCCAGATGACTCAGATTAGTGTTACAAAACAGGATAATGTTGTATTTTTCAGTCTGCTATTATATAAATGCTATTTAAGTATAAATGTGTTCTGAGTTATATTAATATTAAAACAGTCATGTGTGGCTTAATGATTGGGTACATTCTGGGAGCTGCATCAATAAGTGACTTTGTCTTTGTGTGAGCATCATAGATTTCACTTACTAGATGTTTTAGGTGACTCCAACCTAGGCCATATTGCTCCCAGGATGCATGTCTGTATAGCACGTTACTGTACTGAATGCTGCAGGCAACTGTATGACAATGGTAAATATTTTTGCAACTAAATATATCTAAACATAAAAAGGAACAATAAAAATACAGGATAAAGGTCTAAAATGGCATACCTGTAAAGGCACTAACCATGTATGGAGCACACAAGACAGGAAGTTGCTCTGGGTCGTCAGTGTGTGGATGGTGAGTGGATGTCAAAGTCTAGGACACTACTATATGTCACTGTAGACTCTGTAAACACTGTACACTTAGGCTACAATAACTTTATTAAAATATTATTCTATTTTAATGATAAATTAAGCGACTTACTGTAGCTTTGTTACTTTATAAACTTTTCCATTGATTAAACTCTTTAACGCTTTTAAAATAACTCTTAGCTTAAAGCACACATTGTACAGCTATGCAAAAATATTTACTTTGTTTATATCTTTATTGCATGAACTTTTTCTGTTGCTTTTAAAAATTTTGGGATGTTTGCTTAAAATGAAAACAGAAACACATACATTAGCCTACACTTGCACAGACTCAGTATTATCGATATCACTGTCTTTACCACCATGTCTTGTCCTATGGAAGGTCTTCAAGGGTCAAAACACATCAAGGTGTCATCACCTGTGATAACAATGCCTTCTTCTGGAATACTACCCAAAAACCCTCCATGAGACTTGAGACTGTGTTGGAGTTAACTCATTATATATATATATATATATTTGTGTGTGTGTGAGAGAGAGAGAGAGAGAGTGAGAGAGAGAGCGAGCACTGGAATCTTACTCTGTATTCAGGCTGGAGGGCAGTGGCACACTCATCCACCAGCCTTGACCTGCTGGGCTCAGGAGATCTGTCCACCTCTGCCTTCCTCATAACTGGAATTACCAGCACTTACCACCATGACCAGATAGTTTTTTTATTTATTGTAGAGATGAGGTAACACCAAGTTGCCCAGGTTGGTTTTGAACCCGTGGGCTCAGGAAATCCTCTCACATTGGCCTCTACAATAAATCAAAAAATTAACTGGGCTTGGTGGTGTGTGCATGTAGTTCCAGCTACTTGAGAGGCTGAGGTGGCAGGATCGCTGAGGTGACAGGATCGCCAGCAGGTTGAGGCTGAGGTGGCTCTGAGCATGCCACCACATTCCATCCAGGGTGATAAAGAGAGATTCTGACTCCAAAAATAAAAAGAATATATATTGGGCCTATATTGGGCTTTATTGAGCCACATAATTTCCTTTTCTCATTCCCATTGCTTTAGGGCCTTAAGGGAGAAGATATTTTTTCTTAAAAAGGGTCTAACTTAGCTTTCAGGATCTTTGGTCACACTTCCTAGTAATGCGGTGATTTAGTGGAACAATGAATGAAAATTAATGGTCTGGAGGTCCTCTTGCTTCCTCCTTGGTATTTGGAAGACACTATGGTAACAGCTGAGGCAGGACAATAGTTTGTGGCCACCTAGTGCAGAGTGGCTTTGGGGTAAACTGAGGCAGCTTCCACCATTGTCAGAGCTGTGACATTAGCCCTAGGGAACAGTAGGGTTTCTAGGACTTGGCTTAAGAATGATTCCCTTCAGTGTTTCCTCAAGATTCCTAAAACTGCAGATTCATCAGGATGAGCCTCCAGAACCCACCCAAACTCCTGGAACTGGCAGTGCAGAGCCTGCTGAGGAAGGAAGCCATGACCATCTCTGTTCTGGAGGAGCTGCCCATGGAGCTCTTCCCACTCCTGTTCATGGAAGCCTTCATCAGGAAACACAGTGAGACCCTGAAGGCGATGGTGCAGGCCTGGCCCTTCTCCTGCCTGCCTCTGGGCTCCCTAATGAAGACGCCTCAACTGGATATCTTACGACCTGTGCTGGAAGGGCTTGATGCACTGCTGACCCAGGAAGTTCGCTCCAGGTAAGGTGAACCAGGTGGCCAAGTAGAAAAAGCCTAGGAGTCCAGGAAAGGGACAGCTGGGTCAGGGAAAGTGTGGGCTGATGGGAGGACCAGAGATTTCTGACAGTGCCAGTGAGGTTCTCAGAGACACCTTGGTCATTGCTGAGTTCCCTCTAGGAAATGACTTCTGGAATTATAGGACTGCTTACCATGCAGGCACCACTGAGGGAACAGAAATCTATCTCTTGTGACACTTAAAGGTACTAGAAGAGGGGACCAGGCAGGATGCAGGGGGAAAGGGGGGGGGGCAGAGAAAAGTTGGAGAGAGAAGAAGCTAGAACTGGAGCAACTGATGTCTGGGGTATGGAGTAAAAGCTCAGAGCAGAAATGCGTCCTAGCCTAAATTCCAAGCCTGTTTTCATTTTTACCCACAGGAGGTGGAAACTCCAAGTACTGAATCTGGTGAATGTTGATGAGAACTTCTGGAGCGTATGGTCTGGAGCTCTTACATACTCACTCAAGGATATGAGTAAGAGACAAACTCTGGAGGACTGTCCAAGGATGGGAAGGATGCCCCCCTTGAAGGTGTTCATAGACCTTTGCCTCAAGAAAACAACCCTGGAGGAAAGCTTTGCCTACCTCCTTCAGTGGGTCAAGCAAAGAAAAAGCTTATTACATTTGTGCTGTAAAAAGTTGGTGATTTTTGCAATGCCCATTGAAAATGTCAGGGAGGTCTTAAAGATGGTGAGCCTGGACTGCATCCAGGAGGTGGAAATATATTGCCTCTGTGAACTATCCACGCTAGCAAGGTTTGCGCCTTACCTGGGCAAGATGTGTAATCTCCGTAAACTCATTCTCTTCAACATCCACGAGTCTGTCTACACTTCCCCAGAGAAGAAGGAGGAACGTGTTGCCCAATTCACCTCTCAGTTCCGCAAGCTGGACTATCTTCAGAAGCTTTATATGTATACTCTCTCCTTCCTTGAAGGCCATCTGGACCAGCTGCTCAGGTAAGGAAGTGATTGATCATGAGCAGTCTTTAGTGTTTACTGACTTTGTTAAGTCAGTAAACACTAAAGAGCATCTGCCTTGTGCCAGTCCTTGATGATGTCACAGTAGAGACACTAGAATGCCAACACATTGTTGTGTTCATTGTTTCATCCTCAGGTGGCTATCACATAACCACTCTGACAAAGGCAGAGGGAGCAAGTGTGGTTGATGCTAAAGATAGTAACATTGGTGCTGGGAAGCTACTATTGTGGTATTCAGATCTAGCGAGGGTGCATGTGTAAACTCTTCTAGAGGACTAGTGTCCAAGTTAAGATGATGTAAAGAGATAAATAAAGAGGGCACTGAAAGGGAAAGCACATTTCACACCTGCATATTTCAAAATAAGTGCTGGATCCTCACTGGCTTAGTGAACATGAATGGGTCTGTCTCATTTTTCAGCTGGTAAAAGATTTCTTTTTCAGCTCCAGGTCAGGTAATTCACATATGGGAAATGAAGAATTCTGGAATACAAGATGAGGTGTCAGGAGTGAAAAATAGTAAAAGTGACAGATGGTTTTCTGATGATATAGGCATGTCAGTGAGAGTCTGAATCCTGACAGCCCTAGATGATGATGCTGGATCTTGTCTGGGTATAAACTTTATGCATGTACTTTACTGCTTTCCTGTGGCCCAGAGACTTGGAATTCTGCTTGAAAGATGATGAAAGGAAGCTTTAGAGTTTGTGGACTTGACCCAGTCACACACTGATGATGAAGAGACTCAACCTCAAATGACCAAATCCTTCAACATGCATCACCCTGGGTGTTGTCCATCATCAGATGATCAGAAGGACCTTGGATCCAGACAAAATGATCATCTCTCATCTTGGTTATTCTTCACATCCTCCTCTAACTAGAACCATTCCCCAGAACTAACTTCTTGATCTCTCCCCAGGTGCCTCAAGTCCTCCTTGGAGACCCTCCTACTGACTAACTGCCTGCTATCAGAAGCTGACTTGGTGCATCTGTCAGAGTGGCCAAAACTCCATCAGCTAAAGGAGCTGAGCATGAAGGGCATCGTGATGACTCACTTCAGCCCTGAGCCACTCCAAGTTCTGTTGGAGAAAGTTGCAGCCACCCTCCAGACCTTGAAATTAGATGAATGTGGGATCACAGACTCTCAACTCAACACTATTCTGCCTGCCCTGAGCCACTGCTCCCAGCTCACAACCTTCAGCTTCTGTGGGAACCCCATCTCCAGGGTCACCTTGGAGAGTCTGCTACGCCATACAGTCGGGCTGAGAAAGTTAAGCCTAGAGTTGTATCCCATCCCCCCGGAGTGTTATGATACCCAGGGTGTTCTCTATCGAGGGAGACTTGCCCAGCTTGGGACTGAACTGAAGAAGATCCTGAGAGGTTTAAGGCAGCCCAAGAGGATAATGTTCAGTACCAACCCCTGCCCTCACTGTGGTATCAGGTCATATTATGACCTGTAGCCTAGCTAGTGCTGCTGTTGCATGTCTGCCTAGTAGTGTGGAGACATTAAAACTTTCTGGGCACATGGAAACTGAAATCTAAGATGTAGTTATATCTTACAGGGATCACAGGAATCATCATTTCAGTTACTGTCTCAGAGTGAATGGGAAAGGAAAAGTGTTACAGCAGGTGCCAGGACTGTGACAAAATGTTGGTCTGGAGTCTATGGGACCTTTGGGTACATTGCCTGTAGACTCAGGAACAGGAATCTAAATCTCTAGTGCAGAAATCAGGTTTGAATGGTACATGAGGAAATTGCCCCTATTTTTAATGAAAGAGTAAGAAAAATAAAAGGAACACCAAAGTAAACTCTCTGGTGTCCTCCCTCATTGATCTGTTTTTAACAGATTATGACTCAGAAATCTTCAGTTACTGAAGAAACAAAAAGGTACTGAGTTGTCTGTGATGAATGTGGTTCATCCACAGGAACTCAAAATGACATCAAAATGAAATCTCACCATTTTGATGTTTCCTCTGGTTCTTTACTACTCTTTATGTATCTATTTCCTTCTTGCTTTTTTCTGTGGTTGTTCGTTGGGTTAACACACAAGTTGCACACCTGAAGCCTGGAGCATTTGATGTGGGCAGTGATGATGGGTTCCTGAGGGTAAAGTATGTTCTTCTCAGGGGCACTCAGTTCTAATCAGATGCAGAAACCCTATTCTATCCCAATGGGGGAATCCAGAAGAATCAATCCCTGACCATTCACTGTGCCAGGAAGAGGCTTTATTTCACAAGGTGTGACTCCCTGTCCTGGAAGGGGATGTGCACATTGTGTATTAGCAGGATCCTCAGGGCATCCCCAACCCATTCCTGTCCTTTTGGACCCTAGTAGCTTTCCCTGAATTAAAGTCATTGTGCTCAGTAAAGGCATCCACTTTCCCTTTTATAAAAATGCTAAAATCATTAACACTATTGTGCATTTTAAATATTCCTACCCTACATTAAAAAATAAACTTACACTCTTTTAGAAAGCTAAGTCATATCAGTGAGAGATCTTTCCAAAACACCTTTCTTATCTTTTTACCAAGAAAAATTAAACTAGGGCACAAACCCATAGTCAGTCTTTCACTGCCTTGAAAATCCTTTGCGTCTTCCCTCAATTCAGGGAATCAGTATTTAAGGGACCACCTAGAATGAGAAAAGGGGCACTGATCTAAGATAAAGATTCGCTAAGCAAGTGTATCCAATAAGAACCAAAACGGGACAAAACGTGGTGGCTCATGTCTATAATCCCAGCACTTTGGGAGGAGGAGGTGAGAGAATTGCCTGAGCCCATGGGTTCAAGACCAACCTGGGCAACTTGGCAAGACCTCATCTTTGCAATAAACCAAAAATTAACCTGGTGTGGTGGCACATACCTGTAGTTCCAGCTACATGTAAGGCTGAGTAGAAGGATCACCTCAGCCCAGCAGGCTGAGACTTTGGTAACCTTGAGTGTTGCACTGCACTCCAGCCTGGGGGACAGAGTGAGATTCCAACAAACAAAACAAACAGACAAACAAAAACAAGGCCTGGTGTGGTGGCTTGCACCTGAAAGCCTAGCACTTTGGGAGGCTGAGGTGAGAGGCTTGCTTGAAACCTGGAGTTTGACACCAGCCTGGGCAATGGAATGAGATCCTGTCACTACAAAAGAAAAATAAATTAGTGGGGTATGGTGGCATGTACCAGTATTCCCAGCTACTTGGGTGGATGGAGCAGGAAGATTGCTTGAACCCAGAAGCTTGAGGCTGTGGTAAACTGTGATCATTCTGCTGCACTTCAGTCTGGGTGATAGAGTAAGACTCTGACTCAAAAACAAGCAAACAAAAAATAAAAAACAAGATAGAAAAATTGAAATAAATAACTTATCCTTCAGTGCAAAGACAGACTGAACCCTCAAAACTGGAATTATTTCTTGAAGCGGAGGCCCCTTGTAGTACAGGTTTCCCAGTAGATAAGTGTTCTAGGAACATATTGACATCAGTGTACCAGCTAACATTGTGAGGGGCAGCATTCAGCTTCAGTGAATTTTTCTCTTTTTTTTTTGGAGGCTTTTCCCAATGCTTTTGTCACTTAATAATGGATGATTTATGAGTGCACCTGCACACACTGAGCTGAATGCCAATAGTTTTTGTAAAAAAAACCCCTAGCATGACCCCCATAACTCACCCTCCTGATCTTACCTTGAGTGAATTGTTTTTTTGTTTCTCTGATGAAAAATATCCCCAGAAGGAAATGTCTTGCTGATGTGGAAGAAGTGAAACAAACAAACAAAAAAAAACTCAGCAAAAGCACTAAAAGGCATCAAAATTAAAAGTTCAAAAATGATTTTGAGTAGTAAAAAAGCATCTTGGCAGGTGTATGGTATCAAATGGAAAGTACTTTGAAGGTGACTGAAATTTAAACATGTAAGATTAAATACAAAATTTTAAATAAATAAAGTCCAGGTTTTTTGGGGCCCCCCTCTCATATCCATAAAAAATTACAGCAGAGAATTATGACCTCTGTACATGGTCAAAGCAAAAATCCAATACTGACTGTTAAAATTTGTGAGGTTCTGACCGACAATTCAAGATGGCAGTTTTATTAAAACTCAGTGATCTCCAAGATAACACAGAAAAGCAATTCAGAAATTATCAGAGAAATGTGACTGGGCATGGTGGATTACATCTACAATCCCAGCACTTTGGGAGGCCGGGGTGGGAGGATTGCTTGGGCCAGGAGTTTGAGACCACTCTGGACAACATAGCAAGACCTCATCTACACACAAAATAATTAAAAAATTAGCTGGGCATGGTGGTATGTGCCTGTAGTTCCAGTTACTCAAGAGTCTGAGGTGAAGGGATCACCTGATGCTGGGAGGTCAAGACTGTGGTGAGCTGTGATTGTGCCACTGCACGATCAACAAGGGGGGACCCTGCCTCTAAAAATAAAAACAACATTTAAAAAAATTAAAATAGAGAAATTATCAGATAAATTAAACAAAGAGTTTGAGAAAATGAAAAATATCATATAACAACCTTGGAATGGAGAAATATATTTGGTAAACTGAAGAATTCATTAGAGACTCTCAACTACAGAAAAGACCAAGTGGGGTTAGAATCAGTGAGCTCAGAGACTGACTCTATGGGAGGCTGAGGTGAGTGGATTGCCTGAACCCGCGGGTTCGAGACCCGCCTGGGCAACTTGGGAAGACCTCATCTCTACAATAAATAAAAAATTAGCTGGGTGTGGTAGCGCGTGCCCGTAGTTCCAGCTACTTGGAAGGCTGAGGCGGAAAGATTGCCAGAGTCCAGCAGGTCGAGGCTGCGGTGGCTGGGAGCGGCCACTGCACTCCAGTTTGGGTGACAGAGTAAGACTACAACTCAAAAATAAATAAATAAATAAAATTTAAAAAAATGTAGTCAGAGGAGAAAAAATGGGAATGGAACAAAAAGGACAAGACCACCCACAAGATGTAGAAATTATCTCAAAAGACTAAATCTAAAAATTATAGGCATTCAAGAGGGAATTGAGCCAGAGGAAAGGGTAGGAAATTTATTTAAATAATAACTGAGAACTTCCCAAAACATGAGCAAGTTATACATATCCAATTCCAGAGAGGTATGAGAACACCAAACAGACTGAACCCAGATAAGGCTGCCCCAAAGCATATAATAGTCAAACTCTGAAGTCTCTCAGGACAGTCTGATCTATATGAGTTATACAAACTTTTTCAGTCCCAGAGAGATATGAATTTGGGATTTCAGTCATGCCTCATCACTGCCCCCAGGCCTGGGGTAATTGTTAAAGGGCATTTTGTTCCTGACTAGCTGCCTCTCCCATTATCATTAAGTTCCTGGAATTTGTGATGCCAAGCACAGTGAAGAGCCAGACTCTCTAAATTGGAGATTAGGGCAGGAGAGTGGTCTTCAGGGTTGTGAGTACATCTGGTTATCAGGAGGCTTACAAATATATCTTATAGATGTAACTAGTTATTTCAAAGAGACAGACTTGTATTAGAGTAGAAAAAAACAAAATAAATTAAATAAAACACACATACATGCACCAAATATTTTACATTTTATTTTTATTCCCCTCACATTGTTGACTTTTAGTTGTCTCAGTTTACATATTTTGCATGACTTTTAACAAGTTGTTGTAGTTATTACTGTTTTAAAGAGATTGGAGAGGAGAGAAGGAGAGTTGCATTCTGAGAGCAGTGGGGGTGTGGGAGGAAGAATGTACAGTTTTAAATTCAAGTGGCTTCTACATTTAGCCCAACTCAGGTACAAAAGAAAGTTTCTTAATACAAGTTTCTAAGCATTTTCTGAATGATGGTTCTAATATAACCAAAATGACCTCTTTTCAGTTTGTAACAGAATTGATTTTATCTTTTTCTGTCATTAGACAGAAAAAATGAAACCCGAAAGCGTTTTTGTTGAAAGACCATTGGTTGATCAATAATATGAAGATATTTCATAAGTGAAATAGCCTTATAAAATCAGCAGCGTCATTCTTATGAAATCAGAATAAAAGTCTCTTATGTATCCCACTGTTCAGTGGGTTTTATCTTACCTAACATAGCAGATCATACACTCATTCAAGCAGAAGGGAGGTACCCCTGAGGGTGTGATTGGTTCCAAGACTTAATTCAAGGGTTCTCTAGAGAAGATAGAGGTCAAAATTAAGGCTTGAGGCTGGGCGGGGTGGCTAATCTTGTAATTCCAGCACTTCGGGAGGCCAAAGCAAGAGGATTGCTTGAGACTGGGGATGTGAAACCAGCCTGAACAACTTGGTGAGACCTCGTCTTTATAATAAATCACAAAAATTAGCCCGACATGGTGGTGTGTGTCTGTAGTTACAACTACTCATAAGGCTGAGGCAGAAGGATCACCTGAGCCCAGCAGGTTTGAGACCAGCCTGGCCAACATAGTGTGACCCCAACACTATTTAAAAATAAAAATAAAATAAAATAAATCAGAATATTCACTAGAAG